TTTGTGTTCTCTAAATAGTCTAGTAAAGTGAATTCGCATCATAAAATCGCATCATAATTTTTCCTAAATTGATGTTAAATTAATTCTAATTTTGAATTCATTCGAACTCTTGTTATTATAAATTTCATAAAAATGATGTAACGATTGATGAAATTATATTGTAGATGCAGATCTCACTATATTTGGATGGAATTATTGTCGTTGAGTTGTGATGAAAATTTTCAAAAAATGCGAAATTTTTATTTATCTTCCATTTCTGAAGAATGAGGATTAGTCATGAATCTCCAGAAACACTTCATTTCGTTGACATTTTTTTCTTTCGAATTTACTGTAATATAAATTATTAATATAGAAAACAATGAGGAAAGCGCAGCGTAAGCGGTGATGGCGTTTATACATCATTTTATAGCACAGAATCACCGTAGGTTTCATTCCGCAATAGACAATTCCTATTTTCTCTATCCACCATTCTTCTTCTCAAATTTCTCTTCAACCACATAACGAACGATGGTGTCATATTGGAAGAACGTGGTAGAGTTCATTGCACCATGGGGCTTTCAAGTATTGAATAACCAATTCCCGAGGTGTGATCTCACATGAAGTGGTTACGTGTTTTCTGCCTTGAATTGAGCGATATAAACCAAGGGAAAGAAAAAAAGACGAACTGATTGCGTGGCCACTCTCTGCAGGGAGGTCATGGTCATCAATGCCATGGTTTCATTATATGTTACAAGAGGATTCGTTGTGGAGACATCAGGAATTCCAATGATGGAACTAAATTATAGAACATTGAGGTAGATTAATGATCAGTGAAATGGGATATTCCGATGACTCGAATGTATTGAGTTGAAGTTTCTACTGTGACACTTTGAGCAAATGTTGCATCAAGTAAGATTGGTTGGCTTCAATAGATTTATGGATAATGTAAGTTATAGTTTCCTTTTTTTTCATTAATACAGCATAAAATGAATGCAACTGCCAAAATCAATGATTCAGTTAATTAATAAATCTCTAAAGAGTCTATGAAACAAATATTGAATCCAAGTTTCAAGTGATTGCGCAGTTCAGTGTGGCTGTCTGTGCAGGATACGGGTGAAATTCCAGCCCCTATCGATATTTAATTGCCGACATGACCTATTCACGTCACCAGGCATCGATATTGCAAAACAAGTTCATCGTTTATTATCACTGTTACCATAAAAACGTAACTATGTGTAAAAGGATAATAATAAGACAGCGATTGTAAAAATTTGTTGGAAAAAGTTGGATTTTTAAAAAATACTGCAAATACTGCCCTTGTGCACTACATACTTTTTTTTCTATCTGTTTTCTCTTATAGATTAGAAAAAATGGCCAAGAATTCAGTATCCACGCGATTGCAATTTTTTAGAAACAACGATTACCGAAAAATCGAAAGAACATAAGAGGGTCGGTTTAAGTTGTTTTAAAATGAATTACGAGACTTGGAAATAAATCAGCAGATTAAATAAATCCACTAAGTGAAGTGTATACGTTTCAGTCATAATGAGAGTAGTATGAAATGCCGGGTGACGTTTTCTAGGGGAATGGATTTTGTGGTTGCGGTTTTTCGCCTTGGAAAAAGTAGAGACCTCGCAAGTAAGCCCACGCCCCTTACTCGGTATGCTTTATACAATACAATGGGAAAAGAGAATGTTGTCCTTAAATAATATGGTGAATTTTGCAGACGGAACTCAGTAGCCTTAGATTTTTCAGGAAGGAAGTCAGACCTTGACAAACGTCTGATCGGAATACCTGATTCGTGCTTAGTGCTAGTGTGTCAAAAGAACAAAATATTTGGAGCACGAAGTCGAGATGTGAGTATAAGACGCTACCGAATGAGATTCAGGTGAGGATGAAATATATAGATGGCCTTCGATTATTAAATTTTTCCTTCAGAATGTGCATGAGATTTGCATGAACGAACTTATTATAGATTAAAAAAACTGATGACTTTTAATTGGAGTGAATTAAATATAGGATAATTGTCAACTGATAAGACAAAGGAAAAATGTTTTGCCGTAAGCCCATAGAATATTGAGAACCTCTTACTATATATTGCCGCAGTGTTCTCTCTTATGTTCATAGTACTGTATACTATTTAATTTACTCTATGTGGATCTGCGCTCGATGTAATAAATCAAGTCGATGCATTTGCAATGCGTTATTTTATCCTTAAATGTATTACGAGTAAAAAATCTCGAAAAGAGGGTGCAATAGACGAATCCATTGAAGCTATATCTATTAAAGTATTTGTATATTTATCGTTTTTGCCTTGGTGTCTCTCATATGGTGTCTCTTCAATGAAGATTGATGAAAATTTATTTTATGTCATTGCGGCCAGCATCATAGCCACGGCGAAAAAAGTGATTCTGACTCATCCTCGTCTCCGACTCGGACTATAAAGTCGCATTCGTCAGATTCCCTTTTTCCGTCCTAGGCGTGAAAAATACTATTTCCCTATTGCGAAAAATTTGTACTTGGAAGGTGTCGATTTTGTTGTGGTTGGCTAATTCCCTGGGAAAAAGTCTGTTTTTCTTTTCAATGGAATAAGAGTGTTGACTCTGCTATTTAATTGTTGTGAGAAACTACTACAAAATTTTAATTTTAATTTCCTTTTTGCTTCCGAATGGAAACCTTGTATTTGACCCACTTTTCGATAGTCTAATTTCAATTGCACGTTATCTAGAATGTTCTGAAACGCGGATAAACAATGTTTTTAGATCATGTCTGCGTATATGTGCTGAAAAATTAGAAATTTTGAAGATTAATTTTTAGAAAATTTAACATAAATACTGTTAAATTCGCAACTAAAGATCTGAATTTTCAACTTCTGATAGCTATCATTAATATTTACTTTCATTCGTCGTTTCAGTTTGAATGGTCCAGTAGTTCCTGACATATAGCAACTTTTGTAAAATTAGTTTTTCCTGAATATTGCAAAAACTACTGCAAGAATTTCAATTTTTTTCTTTTCCAAAATACTCGTCTCCGTGGGTCCTGTCTATATGAATCGACATATTTTTTGTTCTGATAAAATTTCGCGTTATCGTCGTTTTTAGGTTTTATCAGCATAAACGTTGGGAACACGATATATATCAATAAAAAATAGAGATGGTGAGTTAAAACTTTGTACACTTGCAGCTTTCATAATACTAAAGGTTGGTATTTTGGATGGGCGATATTACACCATTTGCAAGAATGTATTTCCTTGAATATCCTGAATCGCTCAACGAATTTTATTTTATTTTCTTTCAAAATAATCGACTCAGTGGGCACCATACAAAGCTATGAAAATATGTATACCCGTTCGTACGAAAAATCGCGAGATATTGCCATTTTTCTGTGATTTGCCTCCGAATGGAAGCATTGGAATCGTTCGATTTTTCGATTCTCTAATTTTGCCTGGAAATTATGTGGAACGGTCTGAAACATAAAAATACGAAGTTTAAAGGCTATGTGTGTATGTGCGAAAGGTCAATCGACGGTCAACTTGTAGAAAATGTGAAGAATAAATGGATAAATCCATTTTAAAAATCTCAACTTTTGTCAATTTATAGGGCCTAATGTGTATTTGATCTATGCTAAATTTCAGCCCGATTGGTGGAGTAATTTTCGCAATATCGGTGATTGTTTCTGAAATTTTGTGAAAATATCTGAGAAACTATCTAATCGATTTTCTTTTTTTTTAATGTTAATCTCAATGTGCTCTATATAGGTCAGAAGGAATATATATAGGTGTTCCCACAAAGTTTTCGAGATATTTCAATTTTTATGTTCCTCAAAAAATTTCGTTGCTCACGGTCTCTGATTTTTAAAAATAAACCGAGCAACTTGAAATTCGGTAGTAAGTTTCCTCTTATGAGAACAATGTTTCCTATTGAAATGGGCTGGATCGGATAATTTCCCAAGGAGATATTACGAGTTTAATATTTTTTCGAAGAAATTATTGTCGGAATAGGTATGGATTCATTGGGAAATTCACTACTACTACCAATTGTATTGTATTTTAGAAATTAAAAATTAGAAAAAAAAACTAACGCATAAAGTAATGGCTAAGCGTCTCCTGCCAAATAGGCTCGGCCAACTGCCTATTGATCTGATAAACTAAAAAAAAATATTGGGAATACAGTGGACCCATCCTCTTCATGAACCCATCCTAACTTTTTGGGATGATATGTTAGACACTGCTCGTCAAACTACGCTCACAAAATTCCATCTCATTATATTCTGAAATGCACAAAATCCAAACGTTTGATGTGAAAAATGCTTAAAATAAAAAATTTGAACGTTGGAAAAGTAAAATTTTTTATGTCATTGCGGCCGGTAAAACGCGTTTCTAACCTCGCTTCGCTTGGATAAAAACGCGTTTTCGGTCATAATGACATAAAATAGCATCATGGCCACGGCGAAAAAAGTGATTCTGACTCATGCGCGTTATAATCCTTGTCTCCGACTCGGACTATAAAGTCGCATTCGTCAGATTACCTTTTTCCGTCCTAGGCGTGAAAAATATTATTTCCGCATCACAGTGAAAAAAATAATGACTTTTATCAGGTAAATTTAGTAACTAAAAGAGAATCCATATATTTGCATGTACTAAGTAAATTTTCTAGGCAGAAGTAAATTAATTTACCCGAATTTTTGTCTTGCCAATGAATATATAACGGACGCATTCTCCAACTGTTAAATCGATCAACTTTTAAGAAATAATGCAAATTAAATAATGTGAAAGATTGGCCATTTTTAAAGGTAAGGTAAAATTCGATGTAAAAAAATTTGCCTCATTGGATTGTCCTTGTAGTAGACCTAAGAATCATTAACAACGTGGAGATCCGGTGAGAGAGGTCATTACAGGTATAGAAAAGCCAACCACAAGCTTGTTAAACTTGCAACAGTGTTGAGTATAACAAAAAGGTGGGAGATGCGAAGGTATAAAACCGATCTCAGTCACCCTAAGAGTTAGTTCGAAGGCCAGATGCGGGCGGCTACAGTCGCGAGCGTGAAGGAGATCATATTTATTTGACGGTGAGACCAGGCGGCACTGCAGGGTGATTCTGTGCACGATTTTCCATCAGTTTAACCTTTTAGTTGATTCAACGTGAGGTGTGGTTAATTTCTTGATCGGATAGTCAATGCACAGAGCACAATACTGTTGTTACCGTTCGGGCGACAGAGGCAATTACAAACTATTTACAAAAAATCGGTTGGGTTCTTCATGATTCTCGTTTACATAATTGGTGATCCATTCCAGTCTTATTTGTGAGGAAGTTTTTGGTGTATTGAATTCAATGATTTCGGAGGAAAATCGTAAAATCTTTGAAATTGTAAGTGTCGAATTGAAGAAAATTTTTGGATTACGCATGCACAATTGTATTTTTTAATAAAGAGGAGAGCCTGAAATGCCTGTAATTAGAGTTAACGTGCAAGAAGGATCTCACAATAAGCGCCTGCCGATCGATGTAGAAGTAAGTGGAAAATTAACAAGATTATGATGAAGATTTTTTTTTCATTACGCTGAGTCAATATTGTTTCTCATAAATATCGATAGTATAATCGGCAAATTCGTTGCGGTTTCATCCAATTCAATAACTTTCAACAATACCTCAGAATCGCCCCAGCTCGATTAATTAAATGGGTGATCATAGACCATTTATATATTAGTCCATGACGTTTACATAAAAACTAATTATACTGCGGCTGAACTGTTAATAAACCTTGGTATATATGAAGAGATTTCTTTGTTGGATATTTAGACGGGACGGGATGGAAAAAAGCACCATTTACACCCAGAGATGCGATTTCAGGAAAGTTCGGGAAGTCTCGATTCCATATCCGCTGATGTTTTCACAATAAATAGTGTTTCAATTTTTTCACAATTACCTTACAAATCCCTCTGGCTTCCTCAACTTATAAAAACAGATGAAAAAATACTCAAAATCGGTCGAAACCGCAATTCACTTTGACTTACTCAAGCTAGAGATAGAAATCTGTTGCAACTGCCCCAGGCCTTCCGAAGTCAATTACAGCCCTCGAACCTAGAAATATTTCTGTTAGTTCTTTCGTTTTTTTCCGGCTGTGCAAGCGATTCTCAAATGTGAAGATTCCCAGTTCCGGCATATGAATTATGAATTTTTGTACAAAGGTCATCAAACGAACGAGTATCGGAGTGAAGAGTATAATTTTGTCATCGTAAAGGACTGAAAAGTATTTTTCTCAGGAATTTGCCCGGAAAATGCTTTTCAGACCATATATGTATGAGAAACAGTGTTTTTTTGTCACCAGGTCCAACTAACCGAGTTCTGAGCAGGCCTAGGATTCAGGCCTAGGCCTGTAAGTCACACGGACTAGGCTACGCTTGAAAAGAACGTGGTTAGGCCACGCCACGTGAAATTAAATAGTGTCTGATAGACTTTCTGTTTTTTTTTTCTTCCGATTGAGATGGCTTTATGCGAGGAGTTTCAAACGGGTTCCACAGTTCCAGCTGGAAATTCCCACTAGTTTCGGCATCATGTGACATAATAGCCATTACCATATGACATGGTGACCATTTTCATCTTATTGGATAATAATAATTAATTAATTAATTAATTATTATTATGTCGAGCATCGTAGATCGCCGACGAGAGTTTTTACTTAAGGATATAGAAATAATGACTGAATCGGGTAAATTGTTTTACTATGTTATCAGAACATTTTCTCGAAGACTGGCTGTTATGTCAAGCCCTGTGAACTAGCTAACTAGTGATATAATTAGGATAGATTTGTTTTAATGTGAACTGTATGGGTTACGTTAGCCTTTACATATTTCGAGTCGGTTATTTTTCTGTGCTTCTTGATTGAAAACCTATTCAAAAGAACTCAAATACAGAAGATTATAAGCATAAATTCAATTGATAAGAATTAAAATTAATCTATAAAGCTTGTGGCTTAATTAAACCTGATCATATTGAGCGTGTTGTAAGTTGCAATCTTTCGCTTTCTCGTTTATAAAATGCCGAGGCCCCCATGCATCACGTCGCAACTATGCATTACGTTTCCAAGTAACAAATAATTATCGGCTCATACCCTACTTCTTTCAAGAGTAAAAGAGTCTCAGGCCGGATCCCGTGGAGGCCGTTGGTTAGCCTCGAGACGTTCTGAACCATCCAAAAGGTAAAAATCAGCGTTCTTCAATCTATCATTCATTTTATACATCCCTGGGGATAATAATTGTAATTTTTTCCACACTATGTCTTCACGAAAAGCAGTGATAAAGTGGGGGAATCAATTTTTTTCATAGTAAATGTAATGACTCTACTACAAGTGTGTGATTTTGAAGTAAAACAATCATTCTAATCTCGATTTATGAATTGATTTTGTTGAAGATAAACATATTTTGTTTGGAAAATGAAGACGGGCGTTAGATGATCATTGACCATATTCCGATTGTACTCCATAGACACTTTAGAGTAATTCCTGTCAAATTCAATAGGATATGACGGGATGAAAGAAGATGAAAATTGAGGAATTTCTTATTAGAAGAGTCTACCGCAACTATAATACTATACGACTAAAACTTGCAAAATTTCAGTATCTCGTTCCTCACGTTCATTTCAGCGTCAAATTATCATTACCAAAATAGCGGATAGCATTTTCTGTACATGCGATGTCCACTTTAATATTGTATTCCAGAATTAAAAAAAAAACTGAAATGGATTTTTTTTGTGATCTCGTTCTTGAAAACCGGTACGAGACGATCGACCCATCCATCCATTCTCCCCTTAACGTCACTCGTCCAAAATAAAAATGAGCAACTATGAGACACAAAAAAGTGAAGAATGATGATTTTTCTGCTTTTCTTGCCATATCCTTTGTTCATCCGTCTTATACGAGGCTTATACGAGGAAATCCTTAATCAGCCAGTATAATTGGTTGTATTGATTGCCGATGAATCCTTGTGGAAATACATGTCTAGGAGAAATAGTATTACTTCAATTTTTTCCATTAAAAATCACAGTACGCCTGATGAAGGTTTGATAGGTACGCAACATGTTTGAAAAAACAGAGTTAAATTTCATAGAGAATTGAATATCCTTAGCAAAAACCGTACTACCGTACTAGATAGGCATATCTCGATGAGAATTGTCTAAACGAGGGTCATCCTTGCCCAATTCTCGATGGTAAAAAAAGCAACCAACAAGTGGAATTTATATTTCATTCTTTTTACGCAAACAAAAACATGGTGATGGTTACTCTACGTCAAATTTATCCTTTTTCCTTTGATCTTGTTGTAGGTCGACACGTCGGACAGCGTAACGACGATGCCGATTACTAAGGCAAAGGGTTCCTGGCATATACCTAGACCATCACTTGTTGGACGCAGTGAGAAAGACAGTGATCATGTTAGCAGCTGGGAGCATCATCATTTACATCCTAATTCATCCTCGCGGGGATCCACATCATCTCAGGGCTCCACCGCCAGTACACATGTATGACGTCATTAATAATATTAATCAAAATTAATAATAACTCTCCGAACTTAATAACTTTTTATAATACAAGCATCGGTTACATGATTTTTTGATGATGCTTATTCTATTTTTTGTTCAATCTATAGAGCGCAGCGTCAGGCACTTTACTTCTGACAGCAGCGAATTTGGCAAAACTTACAGCAATGCATCCCTCTAATATAACTAAATCAAAAACAGTGGATAATCTATCAGTGGCCAGTAGTACGCACTTCACGGTTATCAATGGTGTAGGCAGACCGACGGCAGTATATAAAAAGTCATGGTGCGCAAGACATCAGCTTACGGTGCTTGTATGTACTATGAGCTTTTTGTTTTTGATGGGACTTTTCGCTGGTATTCTCTGGATGGAGAGTGAGTAAACTTATTCTTGAATGTGTGAAATGTTCAATCAAAACCAATACTGTTGAAAACCATCTAAAAAGATTTTTATTGAAAATGAACCGAATTACGGAGCAATTCCAAATGAATGAGCAATGGTAATGTACCAATGTCATGGTTCTACAAATTTATGAATTTATGAAAGTATTACCCCTACTTTTTCCAGTTCGAGCACGTGATAAATACAACTGATTCCTCAGCACGAAGAATGATTCCTGTGAAATCTCGTCTTCGATTAAATCAGCTCAAAATAACACGCACTATAAAACTGAATACTATTCGTAATTCTAAAAAATATTCAATTACAAGATTCCAATTATGAATGGAATTTTAGATCCTAGTATGTAAGCTGTATTACACTTATAGCAAATGTGTGGTACGTGACAATCAAGTAATTACATTATTTGTAATAGTTTTTAGTAAGCGTGTCGAGTATTGGACTACCATTCAACTCGAATTTATTATTTATATTCAACAAATCCTCAGAATGATCGAGTTTAACAGCGAGTATTCTGACTCATTATTAATCATGTAGCACTACTGAAATGAGATCATCGCTTGATAACCTGAGTGAAAAACTCCCTCGATCTAGGAAAATAACTCAAGAGATTTCATACAATCGCCATTATTTCTTCACCTTGCTAAATTATTATCTCATGTTCTGGTGCAATTATTCATGTTCTACGAACGTCTAAAATTTATCAAACGAATTGTAGAAAAAATTCAAAAGTGAAATCCTTCATTTAGAAAAACATCTGAGAAAAGTAAATTAATATAAAATGACTATGTTTCATAACTATGCCAAAAAAGGATAGGTGGAAGCCCAATCTTGTGAGGCATCGAAAATTTTCAACCAGTGATGAAGCAATATTTTTCATCAAAGCGCTCATGAAATGATGCTTCGTGGACGAAGTAATGGAAACCAGAATTTCTTTCTAATGCGCAAAGAAAAGCAAAATTATACTTTTCATGTCTGTGATATTACTTTTGTATTAGATGATTGCCCTACGCAGTAAAGTATCAAAAAACCCGAAGATAATCGAGTGAATTTATTGATCTCATTTTTCCATGTGTTGGAGCAGTGACAAGGGGACAAGTCTATAGATGGTTTGCAGATAACAACAAATATTGTTGAGAGTAGCTGATTTATGGTCCTTTGAATTTCTTTCCGTTAGACATCCCATTTCTTCGATATTTTTAGAATGATTTTTTCAACATGCCATATTTGGGTTCATTTAGCTTAACTTATTATTTTAGACTATTAAAAATTATAATTTCTCCTTATTAATCCGATGAATTTGATTGATGTAATTACTTACCTCGACCTCTTGAAGAGTTTGTGTCCATCGATAGTTGAGAAGATCTGCACCATTTCCCGCATTGGGTTTCAATTTCCCTTTGTCTGCCTCGTCCTCCTCTTCCTCTGTTTCTATCTCATTAGGAGTCTCGGGCTGGCTGGTGGAACTCGTGCTGGGTCCTGCCACAGGTATTTCGGTTGTCGAGGCATGCTGAAAAATTTCCCCCAATTATCAGTTATGATGTATAAGAAGATGTTACAAACTCTTCTACATTTTCTCTTACAAATGGTTTGAAACCTTGTCGGTCAAAGATTAATGGAAGCCGTCTAATTTTATTGAAACGAAACCTTTATTCAAACTTGGCTAATCAAGCAAATTGTTTAAATTGTCAAAATGATTTTAGGTACATAGTATTGAAAAGATATTAGGAGAAGAATTTAGGTACATAGTATTGAAAAGATATTGGGAGAAGAATATATCAGGATAGACATTATATCCCGAATAATACGTTAAGGTCGCATTAGCATTTCATTTTGCACTAGCTTCGAGCTTCTAATTAATTGCAAATATCAAAAAATGTAGAAAATAATGTATTTACCCTACTATCAATTTCTTTCTGGAGCTTCTCGGCTTCCTCATCAGTTAATTCTACGATCTTATCGTCTCCAATATCTACACTATTCACAAGAGAGTCTTGATGCTTTTTCTTTTCAAGCCGTTCTTTATGCTTTTTTTCTTTTTCCGCTCGTTCGACTTTCTCCGCTTCATATTTCTGCATCGCAGTAGACTGGTACTTCTGGAATTTACTAGTAACCAACTGCAACAATTAATAAATGACCATTTAATTTCTAATCAAGATAGCGACTGGATTCAGTACTGAAGTGATGAAACATGTCATGACTCATGTCATTGCCTTAATATTAGTATATTCCTCATGAAAAATTAAATCGTATTCATCCATTCATAAAAATTAATAATTTCCAACAATCAAATTGAGGTCAACACTGATGTAAGATTGAAAGAGAGGGTTTATGATAAATATAAAAGTGATAGGATAAACAGTTGACATTTTTTCTTAGACAATTTGGCATTAGTGAAGTAACTTTATGGCTGATTTAACAAATCAATGTTTGTTTTGTATCCCCGCGACCGCTTATCTACCCTCACCCTTCCACACTCTTACCTTTTCTGCTGCTCCAGCACCTCCGCCGGTATAAAAATCAGTTTTTCTCGCTAAAAAACTGAAAATTGTATCCAAAAGCTGAAAAACATAATTACCATCAGTAAATTGATAATGGATATTACTGATAATATATTTGTTTCCATGAAATTTGGAGGTTAATAAAAACCGGATAGAAATTACTTACGTCTTGGACTCCTCCCTCATGCTGCTGAGCCATTGCTAGCAACATTCCATCAAACTGTTCCTCTTTCGACATTTTTCAAAATCAATTTAGTATATTTTACACAGTAATTGATTGAGTTATGACGATTATTCCGGTACGTTGTGATTTGCGACGTTTGACGTGCGAGCAAATATATTTCAGAATGAATGCAGATGAATGTATGTAAGCATGGGTCGTATGGATGAAGCGATACAGGGTTGCCATATTTAGAAAATATCTCGCCGCCAATGAGCTCAGTACCGTATACCAGAGATTATAGGGGAGATTGCTAACGCCAATGGCGAAGCTTCAACCGCGAAAGTTCCTAGCGGAAGTGGCGGAACTAATTTTGCGGGTGTACCTGTGAATCAAACAGGTCGCGAGGGCAAGAGTGTCGGTAATTTTCGGAGGGCGTGGGTATAGATAAAGCAGAGCGCGAACCCGAGCGTGTCGATAATTCGGAAAGTCAAGGAAACGCAAGAGTGTCGATATAATTCCAGGAAATCGTGACGAAAGAAAACATCCCATATAGAGCGGAGTGGGGGTATGATGGAGAAACAATCGATGGACGGAATGAGAAAAATGAATTCACTTCTGTAAATTCGAAAAATTGTTCAACAAATTGGAGAAAAATTGTCTCGCAAATGTATACTCAAACGATTGAGAATCGTCTGAAACGTGGAGATTTATGGGTCCCTCAGAACTTTTTTTTTAATCGATATCTTTTTTGTTAACAATTTCAAAAATGATTAAAC